AAAGTCTCAGCCCGATCGGTTTAAAATTGACAAAGTTTCATACAAACTTTCATCCCCTATTTTATACCCTTGGGGGTAGAATTAATCAAAATCCTTTCTAAGCAATTGCCTACATCATAATATGTACCTGTATGCCAAATTTCAGCCCGATCCGTCCAATGGTTTGGGCTATGCGTTAATATAGTGATCTGTGACTGTCTGACATAGTGATCTAGACAGTCAGTCACCTTTGAGTTATGTATATTTAGACTGACTGACTACTATTATATATATTTAGATTTACTACAAGAATAATAAACATAAAGTTAAATAAGAACGTACCGGACTTGTGTTAGCTAGGGTCCGTAGTGTATTTTTTAATTTCATGTTACAATAGCTCAGGACGACTGTCCTATGGTGCATAAAGAGATTCTGCTTTTTAGCACACAGTAATTCATTTCAATTTAATTCAATTTATTTAATTGTCTTAATATTACAATAGTTTCAAACATGCCCTGCCGTTTTCGGCGTGTAAAATATTACAATAATATTTATATTACATTATTATATTTTAAATTATTATTATTATTACAATCCATTATTATCATTTAAATAATCATTTGTGGAATAATAACATTTATTTAGTAAATACTTACTTTAAAATTTTTTATTGGTAATATTTCTATAATTGTCTCGAAGATAATTGAAAATATACATGTAAATGAGATACTTGTAGATAATATACTTGTAGATACTTATTGATGTTTTTTTATCCTTACTTCCTTACTAAATATATATGCGAAAGTAACTCTGTAACTCTGCCTGTCTGTCATACGCGCTTTCACACCCAAACTACATAATGGATTTAAAGGAAATTTGATATACAGATTGTCTAGATCCTGAGCTATTTGAAAAATTTATATCTATGCATTCTTTTAATAGATTCAAGAGGAAGGTTTATATATATAAGACATGTACACCCGTGCAAACCGAGGCGAGTAGCTAGTACATAATATTTATATTTATCCATTGATCCCTAAACTCGGCTGACTTACAGAAAACGATTGTTTTGTTGCTGTTAGAATTCTAAAAAACAATATAACTCCTTCAAATGTCTTTGTAGGTGCCTAATCTTTAAAGCAAAAGTCATAACAATTTGTATTTAATATTTTTAATTCGTATAATGTACATTGTTTTTGTTTCTGACTTAAATATATTTAAGTACTAGCTGAAATCGCGACTATATTTCTAATATATAAAATTCTCGTGTCACAGTGTTTGTAACAAAACTCTTCAGAAACGGCTAGACTGGTGCTTATGAAGTTTTATGTACAGATTCAGTAGATCTGAGAATAGGACGTAATTAAATTGACGGGATATATATACAGTATAGATATTTATATATGGTAGTATGTCGTAAATGTTTACTCTGTGTTGTCCGCCTAGATCTATGTATGTATGTGTATTATTATTTTATTATATTTATTATATATGAAGGTATCCGCAGAAAACCAGCGTCGTGGCACCCCGTCACGACATATGCTGAGCGGAGACCTATTTGGTACTGTAATTATTAATATAAAATTTAATTAAATTTTAAAAATTATTTTCAGTGTACCAAATAAACAATTTTCTTTCTAGATATATGGGAGACTGGTGGTCCTAAAGCAATTTTTTTTCCAATTTTATTTTTCATATTTTTCAGCATTAAAATTACATATATAGTAGCTGATCTGGCAAATGTTGTTTTCCTATAAATATTAATATCGCTATAAAAAAAATAGGGGTTCGTGATAGAACGCTGAAAATTTAGGGTTGTATATATTTTTAATGCCACGTTTTAAAAAATTAATAAAATTGACAAAAAAAAAACGTTAGGAGTGGACAGCCATTATCACTTAGGGGTATGAAAATTTGATAGTAGCCGATTCTCAGACCTGCTGAATATTCATATAAAATTTCATCAAAATCGGTTAAGCCGTCACGGTGAAGTATGGCAACTAACATTGTGTTAGGGTTCACATAGATATTGTCGAAAAATCTGATATTTTATATTAAAAGAAGGTAGTTTAATTACTTGGTATCGTTAAACTAGTTGCATATAACCCCCACTCATATCTTCTCTGTATAAAAGGGAGGGTTTTTGTAGGCCGCGGCATTCGGTCTTTGAGCACAGGATGTGCTGGTTGTATTTTAATTGCTAAAATGAATTGTGTTAGAGACATAGTTAAATTAATGTTATATAGTTGTTATTTTATTATAATACATACTTTTACTAGTACATAGAGTTGATATATCTAACAATTCTAACACGAGAATTTTATATATATAGAGTTATATACATAATATCAGTCATAGTGATTACAATAGATGGAGCCCAACACGTAAATTTGATTCAGACAACTGAATGATGAGTCATTGGGAACGACATACGCTATTGTTTTTCCGAAACAGCGTATTTACCACTGTACCACTAAGGTCACAGCTGATTTAATTAAACGTCGTTTAAGTTTTTACGTCATGTTTTTACTTCATTTGCATTTTCCCCATAGAACCATTTGTTTTTTTACATTATGACCCGAAAACAAGGAGGTTAGAACTAAACTCACTTCCACCGTAAAAAGATAATTAAAGTTGGGAATAGCAGAACTGGGTAACAGAGGGTTCAACTTTTAGTTTTAAGGTTTATCGGTCACAATCCAAATAAGGATTACAGTTTGTAGAAAACCGCACTGTGGAGGACCGCCATTCATTCAGATGATCAGGATGGTATTTTAGTTTCTCGGGTGGTACGGTGGTGAAAGTCAGCAGGTGGTATTAATCCAAACAAATCCCCAGAACACTCCCCGTGGTTGCTGTAGAAAATGCACAGAGATGCAATATCTCGCCGCAATCTCATCAATTAAGTCAATGGGTCGAGCTCGAGAGAGTGACGTTGACACAAAGACGTTGATTACCAATGATTCTGTCTACTCGGTTCTGATTTAATTAAATGTCATTTAAGTTTTTACGTCATGTTGCATTTTCACCATAAATCATTTGTTTTGTTGTAACTGTCTAATCAGAAATGTATTTTATATTCTAAATTTCTATTTGAATTTATTTCTTTTATTGTACATTCTTGTTTTGGTACATTAATTTCTGTTGTACAATACTTTCTGAATATAGAATAGAATTTATTATTAACTCGTTTTTACAGTTATAACATAAGAAGTACAAGAATAATTTACACATTAAAAAACGTAGTCAAACCACAACTCAGCATAATGCTGGAAAAATTGAATTTCTTCTATTCTGAGAAACACTGTTTCTCAACTGTATCTATATAGTGATTGTAACTGGCTAGTAAGAAATGTGTTTTATATTCTAAATTTGTATTTAAATTTATAGTTCCTTTTAGTACATTCTTGTTTGTTACTTTCATTCTATTCTGTTATATGTCAGTCCATCCTAATATAAATTTTTCTCCGTATACCAAATCCTTTTCTTTTTCTTACCTCAATTTATAATAAAATACAACAAATTATTTATTTTCTCTTTATTGTACTAGAAGTATAATACAAAGTACATTTATTTCTCTTCACAATCTATTTCGCGTTAAATTTTATAAGAATCCATTCATTCGTTTCGTAAATGTTTACAAATATACAGACAGATATACTTTCGGATTTATAATGTTTGTATTTTAATATCCTTGCATAATACACACAGCGCCATCTAGTCCCAAGCTAAGCAAAGCGTGTGTCATAGATATTAGTCAACCGACAGATATAATTAAACACCTTTTTGGAAGTACATACATAATATACATACTCAGACTGACGCAAACAATCATACTCATGAATGCAAACATTTGTACTGTGGCAGGAATCAAACTCACAACCATCGTAAGTAAAGCGGTATTCTAAACCGCTCAACCACCGACGCTGTTCTGTAGGTGTATTTACGACCTTATCAATTACGATTCCAATATATTGTTTAGTGTCAAATACAAATTGACATAGATGTAAAAAAAAATTTAAAGCAACACAATTCCTCGAAAGTAAGTTTCCTCAGGAAACCATCGTGATAAATTCACGGTTGATTTATCAGGATGGGCTAACTGACCTGACTTCATGTTCATTCTATCATCCTCCACTGGTGACCAGCGTCCCTGGAAATAATTGTGATAAATTCCTAGTCAATTTTTATGATGGGCTAACTTACCTGACATCAAGTTCATTCTATCATCCTCCACTGGTCGCTTGGAAATAATTGTGATAAATTCACTTGGTTCATTCTATCATCCTCCACTGGTGATTTGGAAATAATTGTGATAAATTCCTAGTCAATTTTTATGATGGGCTAACTGACCTGACTTGACTTCATGTTCATTCTATCATCCTTCTAATTGTGATAAATTCCTAGTCAATTTTTATGATGGGCTAACTGACCTGACTTCATGTTCATTCTATCTCCACTGGTGACCAGCGTCCCTTGGAAATAATTGTGATAAATTCCTAGTCCACTGACCTGACTTCATGTTCATTCTATCATCCTCCACTGGTGACCAGCGTCCCTGGAAATAATTGTGATAAATTCCTAGTCAATTTTTATGATGGGCTAACTGACCTGACTTCATGTTCATTCTATCATCCTCCACTGGTGACCAGCGTCCCTGGAAATAATTGTGATAAATTCCTAGTCAATTTTTATGATGGGCTAACTGACCTGACTTCATGTTCATTCTATCATCCTCCACTGGTGACCAGCGTCCCTGGAAATAATTGTGATAAATTCCTAGTCAATTTTTATGATGGGCTAACTGACCTGACTTCATGTTCATTCTATCATCCTCCACTGGTGACCAGCGTCCCTGGAAATAATTGTGATAAATTCCTAGTCAATTTTTCATGACGGGTTAACTGACTTGACTTCATGTTCATGCTCTCATCCTCCACTGGGACCAGCGTCCCCTGGAAATAATTGTGATAAATTCCTAGTCAATTTTTCATGACGGGTTAACTGACTTGACTTCATGTTCATGCTCTCATCCTCCACTGGTGTGTCCCTCTAGCCATGATGGGTGACTTCATGTTCATTCTATCATCCTCCAGACCAGCGTCCCTTGGAAATAAGGTCGCTAGCTGACCTGACTTCATGTTCATTCTATCATCCTCCACTGGTGACCAGCGTCCCTGGAAATAAAAAACTAGTCAATTTTTATGAACCTGACTTCATGTTCATTCTATCATCCTCCACTGGTACCATGGAAATAATTGTGATAAATTCCTAGTCAATTTTTCATGATGGGCTACCTGACCTGACTTCATGTTCATTCTAATTACCATCATATCATCTAATTTGCCATATTTTGTCCGCATGGTAAACAGTACGGTATGTGATCTTTTATGGAATGTTAGAAATTTCGCAATGGCTGTATGACATTCTCGTATCTCACTGCACTGTAATTAGCTCACGCCCCTGCAAATTAAAGGGAATGATGGAAGCTAGAGAATGTTCTATGCATGCATAACTACAATCCTTACTAACATCATAAGTGTGAAAGTAGCGATGTTAGTTACACTTTGACCCAAAAACTACTGAACCGATCATCATGAAACGTACACATATTCTTGGAGGCATTGGAATGAACATAGGATATTTTTTATTTAAAAACGATCTCGGATACTTATTTAATGTATTCAATTCGAGCGAAGCCGCGGGTCAGAGCTAGTTTGACATATAGTATACAGTTTTATTTTTAAATATTCTTTATTGCACTTAAATACATTTGTAATTATATATTAATTACAACTAATGTTAACAAAGGAGGACGTATCTCTAAAAGAGATCTCTTCCAGTCAACCCAATATAGCGTGGCATAGGAAGTATTGAGTGGGTCAAAATGTAAAAATTTTTCGTAGCAAAAGAACTTTATATAATTCCTAGCAATTAAATTTAAATTCAAATTCAGAATTATAAATATCTTTATTCATGTAGGTCTATTACAGTCTTACGATATGTCAAATCTACCGTCAGTTCAGAATGATTTCGAGATGAGAAGAACTGACAAGAAACTCAGCTCGTATTCTTTTCAAATAAATGTTGTACATGTTTACAATAATACAGATTCATTTTTAAATACAAATTTGGGAGAATAGAGAGACCAAATAACATCTCACTACTGAGCACACCTGTTTTAGTTACTTGTCCTCCAAAATATTATAATATATATATAATTCATATTTTTTTAGTAAATACATACCTACAATATATATATATATATATACTAAAATATACGTACAATACACCCAGACCGATACAAACAGTCATACTCATGAATACAAACATATGCACCGTGCGAGGAGTCGAACCCGCGACTGGAAGTGAAGCGGTGTGCTAAACCGCTATACACCGAGGTTCTCATAAAACGGTATTCATTCCAACTGTATGATACTGTAGCTGTAAACGGTTCTCAATTTAGTTTTGAAAAGCTTGGTACCGAGCGGCAGCAGTTCATTAGTTTTGTTTGGGCTGTTAACTTAATACCGGAAAGTCGCGCTTCACTGAGCGGAACAGTTTCATTTTGAATAGTAACTAAATTTTTTTCTGTTTTTTGTAGTTTACTTACACAAAATGTGACGATGACAATCCCATCATACCTATACTAAATATGAAATTAAAAAAAATGTCAACTTAAAAAACTTAAACTAATGTGTATTAGGCACATTGATTTAAGTAGAAAAAGTATAATCCATCACATTTAAAATAAGTATTGTTGCTAAGTAACAGTTTGTATGTAACGTGCAACTGTGATCGGCACGAAAGTAAATTATATTTACTGCTATATATATAATCCACTGAATATCTCTATTAATGTGATACCACCTAGAATATTCTAGAACAATAACTTGGCTGTTCGAATTGAAATATAAGGTAAACGTGTTAACGTAAAAGTATTGTTTTTTTAAGAATACAATATTCTTTTTTTTGACCCATGTACGTATATGGATAAAAACTCAACCGAATCGTTGTTTTTTAAGGAAAAATTTTTTTGTTAAATTGATGCATTTAAAAAAAAGTAATTCAGGCGAAATTTTAGCCAATTCTCAATTGAATCTTTATGCGGATAGTAGAGAAAAAATACTAATAAAAAAAACTGACGTTCAGAAGCAGCTATAGTATCCTACAGATTTTTAAAGTGAATAATTAAGAGAAATTATAGTCTCTTTCTACCTAATCCATAAAGAAATTGGCACAAAGATAGATTAAATAAAACGCGGTCATAAAAACAACAAGCTTGATTCAACGGAGTGAAATATTTGAGGTGATTTGAAACTTTCTTAATAATGTTTAAGGAATTACAAACAAAATTCATAATTAGTAAGTGCGCCTCCCATCAGATAAATGTTATAATCTGTATTGTCAACAAAGATCCGGTAAACGCAATTAAAACTTTGAGCAATGACCACAAGTCACAAAATAGAGCGATAGACTTATCAAATGTATTCATAATATTAATACTAGATTTTATGACAATCTTGCTGTCCCCAAGCATCGTTTAGAAAAAGTCAATAGGTCTATGGGAATAGGTATTAAAATTTACAATAAGATACCAAAGGATATACTGAAATTTCCCTTAAATAAATTCAGAACGTCTCACAAATTATATTTACTGAGCAAAGCCTAGTAATCACTAAACGATTATTTGAATGACAAGCGTGCATGGCAATAGTTGTTCATGCACGGGATTTCCATTTAATGTTAGATATACACACCTATATAAAAGTACATTGTAAATAAACTGGCTTTTAAAAAAAAAGTAATTCAATTGAGTTTCTTGCCAGTTCTTCTCAATTGGATCTATATACTGAACTACGGACGGTAAGGAAAACAATTATAATATAAAAAAATTGACGTTTTGGCGGCTAAAATGTCCTACATGAATAAATATTTTTTGGATTTTAATTTCAAAATAATTATTCTAAAATAAATATGCAAGTCATTTTTAAGACCGTCCAGTTATGTCAATTGGGAATAATATGGTAATTTTTTTTACTCACTTTCAATCTTTGCGTATTGCATAGCGATTAAATATAAAAATCTCTTGCCTGAAGAATTAACATCTTACAAGATCATCTTTCAAATAATCGTTCACCGAATAGTTAGCTTAATAGCTTTTATTCAAAAACTATTTCTTAATAAGATCCATATACTTGAATACCACCAAGGTGATATAAAAAACTATATTCCAATATTTAGTGTGGGGATTTTAAGGTCACAATTCCATGATAATGACAGTAGTTGATTGATTGACTGATAAGGAGTTTTTGCTAAACAAAACAGCCTCGGTTGATGGCTACTCGAACACTGATTTTATTGCTAAAAGAAATGTAATGAGGTGAAATGCGTCATGAGATGAAATTGCATGTGTCGGTAATTCGCACAGTAAGCAGGCAAGTGTACAAATACTTTTATGATCTTGCGTGCTATCTGTTATTTTGTATTCGCTCAAAATCAGAACAACAATAATGTATATCTTTTATTAATATCTTGCAGTCCCCTCCAATCGATCCCCCGAAACGGGGATTGAAATTACGACGGCCTGAGCCGAGGTTCGAACCTCTAGTGGTGCCCTCAGACTAAATTCATATCCTTCAGGCGGGAGTTGGCCTTCAGCCGCTGTATAAGTCTTTCCTTTGGTTTTGAGTACCACCTGCACTCGCCCTATCGTTCCGTGAAGCTGTAAAGGCCAGCTGCGGCCAACAATATTAAAGTAGTTTTTTGAAAAAAGTCGTAGCAGTCCGCCAAAATCTTATAAAGTATACCACACCATAAATAAGCCTCAATTTGTGGACTTGCGGAGGATCCGCATAAAAGGAAATTGTCGGTACATCTCGCAGTATAATATTTCGTTGCTTTTCAACGTCCAAATTGATTTCATAGTACCTGAGTTTGAATTGAAGTATAATTTAATAATGTGCAGATTACATGCTCAGGATATATCAGTAATATAAAATATTAAATTAAATAATGATGTGACCAGTTTTGATTCAATAATTCCTCAATAATATTATAAATGAGAAAGCAACTCTATCTGTCTCTCTGTCTCCCTTTCGCGTCAAAACTACTGAACCGATTTAAATGGAATTTCGTAGAGTCTAGACCAGTGATTCCCAAAGTGACCTGTATCGACCCCCAGGGGTCTACGGCAGCGGTCATCTTCATGTTTGTAACACTAAACTTTACTACAGTTAGAAATTTATAAAAAAAATTAATATCAGGTAAAAATGGGAGGTCTACCCAAAACGAAAAAAATGGCAAGGAGTCTACGACACAAAAAAGTCTGGGAACCTCTGGTCCTCCTCAGTCTTCCTCAGGTGGACATATACTAATTTTTAATGCGAAAAAAAGGGTATGGACGTCATTCTTGGCCGGTGCAAACATTTGTATTCATATGTATGATTGTTTGTATCGATCTGCGTGTTTTCTATATATATTATGTATGTATTTACAAAAAAAAATATGTAAGTATTTATATCAGTTGTCTAGTACCCATAACACAAGCTCTTACCGTGGGACTAGATGACGCTGTGTTAATTGTCCAGGATAATTTATTTATGTTTATTGGATAAATTTTATTACCAATATTTTAAATGAAATATGATTATTATAGTAATGCAGGAATGCAGATAATTTCGCAGTATATATATAAGATCGATGACTCTACTGACTGACCATTAAATCGTGGAGTGTCTAGTAATTCCCTGTTCATTACATTCAAAAGCTTAAATATAAGTCTGATATAGTGCTAATTGCTTTCAATTAAACTAATTAAAAGCTTAATTTTTTTTCTTGCACAATAAAAATGCCGATTAAATTGTTTGTAACTAAGTGACAATTAAAAATAAAGATTTTTATGTGGGTAAAAAAATTTATTGTAATTTGTTTTATTTTTAACTCCGGATGCAAATATTCAAAATCAAAGCAATAATCATTTATTCGTGTAGGATATTTTAGTCCCTTGTGAAAGTAAAGCCTTTTGTATTATACTAGCTACTCGCCCCGGCTTCGCCCAGGTGTACATGTATTATACATATTGTAATGGATCGGTGCACTGTATGGGTGTCTAAATAATGAAAACACGTATAGAATAGTAAAATATATTTAAATACAATTGCCAACTATCCAAAAG